CTGGCCAAAGGGGGAACCTGGAGGTGAGCGAGAAAGGGTCGAAAGCCCAAATGAAGGACCAACTCTACAAGAGGAGGCAAGGAGGGACAGCAGCAGAGCCTGACACAGAGAGGAGGCAAGGAGGGACAGCAGCAGCAGAGCCTGACACAGAGAGGAGGCAAGGAGGGACAGCAGCAGCAGAGCCTGACACAGAGAGGAGGCAAGGAGGGACAGCAGCAGCAGAGCCTGACACAGAGACGAGGCAAGGAGGGACAGCAGCAGCAGAGCCTGACACAGAGAGGAGGCAAGGAGGGACAGCAGCAGCAGAGCCTGACACAGAGACGAGGCAAGGAGGGACAGCAGCAGCAGAGCCCTGACACAGAGAGGAGGTCTCAGGAAGCTGGCCGTGGCTGCGACTCGAATGTCTTAATAACGTAAAAAGTAAGACCATCTGCTAAGACTGGGCCTGGCAGGGGCGCACGCAGAGCTGCAGAAATCAGATCTGGAACGTACGCAGCAGGGACTATTCTCAGGAGCAGTGCTGTGGTCCCCAGACCGGTAGCACCAGTGTCCCACGGACACTCGGTAGAAATGCAGGTTCTCGGGCCCCTCCCAGACCTATGAACATGTAGGGTGCTCAGAAACACTAGGGTGGGCCCAGCAACATAGAGCAGTGGCTCTGGAGGGTGGGCCTGCTAAGAAACACTACGGTGGGCCCAGCAACATAGAGCAGTGGCTCTGGAAGGTGGGCCTGCTAACAGCAGCATTAAGCAGCAGCATGGTAGAGTGGGGGGCGGGGTGGGGGGGGGAGGTGACACAAGCAAGCAACGGCCAGAAACTGCAAACCACACAATTTGTTATTCAGAAAGCTGGAAGGTGAGGAATGAGCCCCGGGGCTAGAGGCTGGAATGGGGAGTGAAGATCAGGTTAGAGGGACAGGCAGAGGTGTGGCCAGAGAAGGGAGGGAGAGAATCTACAGTTCCTGGATTTCTGAACAGAAACCTCAGAAGCTGGATGATGACACAGCAGTGCCTCTCAGCCCTGTGGGGAGAATGCCGTACCCAGCCAGGAAACGTCTCCACACGCGCAAACTTCAGGAAAACCACCCTTGTACCCCATGACAGCGAATATCCCTCCGGGTGAGGTCTCCCTTTCTTACCCAGTAACTCCAGACATGTCTGCCTAGCCAGACCCCACCAGCAGATGCGGCCAGGTCACTGCATTTGGCCAATGGGATCAGAGCAAAGTGGTGGATACAGATCCTAGGTGTGCTCTCCACAGCCTTTTGGGCTGAACACTGGTGCAGTGATGTGCCATCATGCACCACACAAAGAGGGCAGCTCCCAAGGATGGCAGAACGGGGCAGAGGGAGCCTGGGTCCCCAACATCACAGAGTTGCTAGCTCAGCCCTGGACCTCTTAACAACTTCATCCTTACATCAGAAACAATCATCATCTTTCTTGTTGAAGCCACTGCTGATGCAACTGAGCCTTTATCACACCTGGGGAATGTATTACCTTTCACAGGAAGCCACTGGAGGATGTGTTCCACTAAAACTGGCAAAGAGGAAAATCGAAGATCTGTGCATCAGGGCACCCAACCTAGTGAGAGGCAAAGGAGGTCCCAGGAGAGCAGTTTAGAGCAGGGAATGAGCAGTCCAGTTTGAGGAGGATGGAGGGTGAATATCTCCAGGGAAACACTGAGCAATTATCTGGCAAGCCAACGGTATCCAGCAGCATTTTACAGAGATGCTGAGGGTGGGAGTGACTTAGGTGGATGTTCAAAGGGAGTGGAAAACTAGGCAGTAATAAGCTGCTGTAGTCACAAAGCTGCACAAGAGATCCGATCCTAGTACTCTACTTGGCTCAGCACTGAGCCATACTTACAGAGGCGTAAGTAGGAAACTGACGAGCCGAGAGACATGTGGGAACAGAGTCATGTACCACAAGCAGCAGCCGAAGTCAAGGGAAGTGGAATGTGGAGCCAAGAGAGGGCACGGGCTAGCTGCGTTTTGTCAGAAGCCCTTTTGGACCATTTGGTTTAAACCATTTGGTTTAAAATCATTAATTTAAAAATTATAAAGTGCCAAAACAAAAATCCAAGGCCACTGAAAGTTCAGACGCGAAGAACGTACACTGAAGACCCCTCTGGGGTCCACCCTGAGCGGGGCCCCGAGCTAACCCCCAGGGAGCCTCCCCACCCAAAATCTGGCCACAGCGGCACTGGATTTGGGGAGCATGTTTCCTTCCACTGTCTGGCTGGTCGAGAGCAGTGACTCCCCCTCTGAGGCTGAAAAACCCGCCTGGAAACAGCGACAGGGGACCAGGCAAGGAGAGTCCCAGAGGAAAGAAATCAGAGCAAAGAACATGTCAGGAACCAACAGAAAGACAGCAAGACCTTTAATAAGATGGGTCAAAGAGATATGAAACCAAATACCACTTTTTGACCAAATTACTAAAAAGTGATGTTTCATGATATAGTTAAAATCCGTCAACACACAAAAAACACTTTAGAAAATGAACATACCTATGAACAAAAACAATGAAACGTAGTTTCTCTATTTCAGGCGAGTTTTTTATTATTATTCATTTTATATGCCTCTACCTAACTTTAATTATTTGAGTTATTTTTATCACTGGATCTCCCGGGTTGTCCAGGTATGTTACTGTGCCATCTGCAGAGACAGACAGTCTTACCTCTTTTCTGCCAATTCCTGTGCCTAACTTTTTCCTCTTACTCAACTGCAGTCGCTAAAATCTCCAAAACAACGTTACCTGGCAGTGAGCGAGTGAGCGCCTTTGCCTTACTCCCGACCTCAGAGAAGGTCCTCTGAGCTCCTGCTTTCAGCAAGATGCTCACTTCAGGCGCGTGTGTTTTACCATGTCAGGAAGCACCACCAATTCCTGCTCTTGCTGAGTATTTTTATCAAGGATGGGTGTCCGGGGGAGTTATAAACAGGTCTTGATTGTTGCATGAACCTAAACACCCCCACAGATACCTGCTGAGTGCCCCTTCAGGTTGCACAACCAACCATGGAGGAGGGGCGTGGGGAAAACAGAGAGGAAAAGGCCTTTTCTGGGCGGAAATCGCAGCACTTTCACGAGGTGGAAGGGAACACCATGTATTGAGTCACACTGGACCCAGGGAAGGCAGAAGCCAAAAGCCAGGCTAGCGCTTCGGCACAGAGGCCCTCAGATTCAGAACCACAGGATGCGGCCAGTCCTCCTTCCCGGCCCATCACAGAGCGTCCTCTGCCGCCTCGTGTTTACTCCCTGCCTCTTTCCCATTCCCTCATGAATGATCAGAGGTTCTGCCCATGCACCCACGACAGGAGAAATGACCTAGCGTCCGCCTGGAGTCCTGGATTCCACCTGTGATTTCAAACCCTTCTCAATACATCTTTCACCAGTTCAGCACTGCCAAAATTTGTGTTGTGTGGGTGTTTTTTAAGTGGTAGGGTAGGAGCTAAGTCCTCAGATCAAAACTACACCCTGTGTGAAACATCACAGGAAATGGGCTGGGGGTAGTGTTTCAAAGACACATACAGTATAGAATTACTGAATAAAAGCCAAATTAGCATCCCTCTCAGTTCACCATGTCCCCCTTCGATGGGCATCTACTGCATTATAGTTTGAGAAGACGTTGATCCCGTGATTTTAGATACCACTCTCGTTGACAGTATTCTCTCCATAGGGAAATACAATAAAATCACGGTTCTCAGTCGTTTCCTGCAGGAGATTTATTCTGTTCATTCAATCCCAGTGAGTTACCAGGCACTCTAAGAGATGATTAGGTTTGGCAAAATTATTAGGCATGTTTTCTTAAATCGCGGGCATAAAACCCCTACGAAAATAGGCATTAAATATTGTAAAGCCATGGTAAATACCTCTTAAACACACATTAAAAAACGTGTCTGTATCAAATGAAGCAGCTCAGGCTGCCCAGTGAACATGACATGCTGTAGATTTCCAGGGGATTTCCGACAACCCCCACTCCTTGCACTTCACTGGCGCCTGTCAGCACGTGACAAAAGAAGACTGGACTTAACAGCGGACTTTCGATGACGGAAATGCCACATTATTTAACTTCCAACAGCAACCCCTGGTAGAAATATCAAATATCAGTGTAACTCTCCATGGTTGGTACCATCTGGACAAGGTTTTGAAGGATGAATAGGAGTTTTCTGAGTGAAGAAAGGAGAGCTTGGCATTCCAAGCAATTGGAAATGAAAGCACAAATGAATGGCATCGTGCAAGTGCCCGTTATGCCTGGGCAATGACGAATAGCTTGGTACAGCCAGAGCAGTGGTGCCTAAACTTCCATTACCCATGTACTACTATCACAACTCCTGTTATTATCTATACCACTTGACTTTCTCTCATATTTTTCTTTAAATCAACCCGTCTTTTAAAGTTTACTTTAATCTTATCTCGGATGACAATATTTATTAAACTATGGATCTGATGTGCTACTTACATTTTCCCTAAGTCACAAAAAAATAATTACACACTATTAAAGTAAAAAGTGTCCCTCTATGAACCTGGAGCTAAGTCCTCCTGTGTTTCAGCCATGTTTCCTGAGCTAGGAACTTCAAGACCCACAGTTTGAGGTGGAATCTGACCAAAGGAAGAAATAAATGCAAATATCAGAGGCAAACCATTTTTAAGCAGCCACTCTTTGTTGGGGGGGGGGGTCACACTGTTGTTACTTCCTGGGATGTCGGCATCCCCTGAAAGGCTGTGTCCTGGCCCACAGGCAGCAACTAAACACCTCGTCGATACAAGCTCCCAGGGTTGCATGTGACCCTCCATTAGGATAGTCATCCATCTGACTTTCATTTCCAATTTTAAAAACAGGCGCCGACAGTATTTCGGTAATTAATTATGCAACGTCTTAAAAGTTTAAATTTCTTCTTCATTAAACACAAGAGCCTAAACTGGGTCAGACGGCAGCATGGCTTCCCGGGGATTAACAAGGAGCCAGCAAACACACAGGGAAGAGCAGAACCACTGGTTTCTTACCTCCATGCACAAAGCCATGCAGCGTGCAGTCCGAAGGCCCCACCAGGTGGATCAAGCTGGACTGGCTGTAGCTGACCGTGTTCGGCTCTGGAATTGCAAAGGAGAGAGATTAGGCCACGGGACAGATCGATTCCCAGGGCTGAACGGTCTGCCGGTGCTGACGCTGCCTCCACGTCTGCACGGCCACTGCCAGCGTCCAACTGCAGTCAACTTAGACACTTCTCTAAGGAAAACGAGGGTCTCAAAACAGGCTCCAGTCGGGGAAGGGGAAGGCTTTTAAGGATTAATTAGCCACTCTGATAGTGAGTGAGACTATTGTTACTCCCTGGGGATGTCAGCGTCCCACAAAAGGCCCTGCCCCAACCCACGGGCAGCCACTAAACACCTTGTGGCTACAAGCTTCCAGGATAGTCTCCTATCTGACTTTCAGCCCTGATTTTATGAATAAGCGCTGACAATATTTCGGTAATTTATTAGGCAACCTCTCAAAAGTTTAAATTGACACTTCACTATACACAAAAGGTGTTTAGTGGCAGGTGGAGACTCAGAACCCGAGAGAGAAACTGCAGATTCAGCCTTCAGGGACTCCATCTCGGGGCTCCAGCCAGCCCTCAGTCCCTGTCCGGGCTCAGGAAGACACAGCACCAAAAGGCCTGCCGGCTTTTCCCTCCCACCAGGCCAGCCCTCTCATGCCCTGCATTCACCTTCCCAGAGCACGATCCCTCGGGTGTCCCTCGTTCACACAAGGCTACAGCTGAAATATCTACAAGAGGCTGCACTTTAAAAGAAAAAGATGAAATAAAGCCCTGTCTCCAAAAGGCAGACATTATACCTTGACCCTGACTCTTCTGTCGGGGGCGTACCACTGACGTAGGGTCTTCTGAGCAGACCCTGCCACTGTGCACGCTTCTACCTTCCCAAAGCCTTCCAGGCAGGGGTCGTGCTCATTTGTTTCCTGCTGGCACAGCTGGTAATCAGAAAGGGTGGCCCATTCCCACCCCAGCAAGACGGGCTGCAAGCCAGCCCACTGGCCACCGCATGACTGGGACACGCCACAGATGGAGAAAGGTCCTGTCTGTATTTTGCCTTAGAGGAGTCTGCACAGGAAGTGCTGTCGCTCGGCAGCCAAGAGCTGGTGGCAAGAGGGTGGTTTTGACCCCTTGACCCAGAGGCCAGGACCTGGGGTCCCCTAAGCATCAGCGGCCGCCTCCAAGACTCTGTCTGATGCTCCCCGCATGAGATTGCAACTGAGTGGTGGCCTGAAGGGTCAAGAAGCAGGAAAACAGGAGTTCAGGCGAGCCGGGGCACTGAGTATTTACTTCCACGCTCAGACATGTCTACTTGTTCTCGAGCCTCACAGCTTAGAGCGATTTAGACTCAAGTTCTGAGCTCGTGTGTGAAGTACTGTCCACTGTGAGAGGCCTCTGAGGCAACCACTGCTCAAGCACCTCAAGAGGCTCCCAGCTGGAAGGGTCCTCGGTGGCTTCCGAGGGATGAAGTGGCTCCGACTCTGGAGTGGGAGTCTTATTTTTATCTACTGTCAGTTCCCGCCTCCGAGGGTTCTGGTGACTGGCCTGCTCCCTCTGCCATCTTTCTTGTCGGAGGCAGGCGCCGGCTGCCACGTGAGATCCCTTGTTCCTGCCTCGGGCTCTGCCGGGGTGAATCCTTGTGCATGGGGGGTGGGGGTAGGAAGAAGTAGCCTGTCATGGAGTCAGGAGCTGGTGGGCAGCAGCAGAGCAGAGAATTCTCTCCCGAGAGGCCACATTCGGGGGACTCTGCCATCCAGCCCACCCTTCTGGATGTAGGCCAAGTGGTCCTCAAGTGTGAGCCCCTCCAGGAGCTGGTGCACAAGGAGACTATCGAAAGCCAACCAACAGACAACACCGACGACTGTGAGTGAGGGGCATGTGGGTAAAGGCTCCCAGGAGAGGAGCTCCAGGTGTCCCCTGCTGTCCATTGGGACTGCTGTCAGTGCAGATGGCCTGTGGCCTTGACCCAAAGAAGGAGACGCTCCTGCTCCCAGCTGCCACTCAGTGCAGGCCCACCAAGACCTAGAGGTGCCCAGAACAGCCTGGACTATCCGAGACCACCCTGGCCCTCAGGGCAACAGAGCATACCCTGCAAGGGATGAGAAGGGAGGCCAAGAAGGAGTCCAAGACTCTGCCCTCCCCAGTTCCTAACGTCACTTGGAAGTGGAAAAGACAAACCAGAAATCCTTGTTCTGCTCTGGGAGGTGCAGGTGACAGTCCCTGCCAGTCAGGGTGCACCCAAGGCCACGGCCACAGCGGCGTCAGGGGCTTCAGACGCCCAGACCCCGCCTGGGGAACCGGAGGAGAGGCACGGCCCGAGGAGCCACGAAGGACGCCAACGAAGTCCCTCGGCCACCACACCATCAGAGAGACGCCCCCAGCCAGCACTGGCCAGCCCACAACACCCTCAGTCTCAAAGGACTGTCTCCCTTGGGCCCGTCTCTGCAAAGCACGCGGGCCAAGAGCAAAACGCCCGGGAACCGTGGGAGCTGCTCAGCTGCTTTGGTCTGTTTGTGTTCCTCTCACAAAAGAGATGAAAGCAACTGTTTTATAGCATGAATGGAAATGAAAAGCCTCAAATTGGGCCCAATCTCAGGAACTGCTTTGACCAGCTGAGAGATCTGCATGTGGACAATGACAAAGAATTTTTTAAAATTTCAAACAATGGAGAATTGCATACGAAAATCTTTGTCATTCAAATAACTATTTATTCAAATGACAAGCCATTTGAAATAACTGTAACAACCTAGTCAAAGAGAGGCCCTCACTTTTCTGTAGTAAAGTGTAAAAATATGAAGCCACGTCGAATAATTTAATGTTCTGAGGACTTGCGTTGATGAGCTTCTAATAAGTGAAAGCAGCAAAATTCTGATGGGAAAAGAGCAGACGCCCACGCACCTCAAGTCCTCCTTCCCTCCGTGAACCGTAACCCACGGGCCCGGCAGGAATGGGCTGTGTCTCATTCTCTCCTGCGTTTGGTTCAGTCGCTGGTACAGGGATAGGACAGTCACCTGAACTCATCTGAGGCAGGGCTGATTTTGTCATCAACCCAACAGCCCCCAAAACGGACGGTCAGTAATATGGCTAAATAGTCCCTATGCGGTTAAAGCTGGACAAGTGATGGCTGTGGATTGAGGAGTTCAAGGTAACTATATTTTCTCTTGTCAGATGGAGAAAACAATAAGATAAACTAGGATTTAAAGAACTCCCAGATTCTCTGAAAAGACACCTGAAGGATGAGTCAGCCCCTCACGGGGGTTGCTAGGCGACAGTCCTGAGGACGGAAATCTGGTTCTGGTTTCACAAGTGACGGAGAGCTGCAGACGGGGACGTGCATGTGGGGGACGGTGGGCACGAGGGGCCAGGAGGGTAGCAAGTCTAGGGCCAAGCCCACCTCACTGGGGCAGGGAGGGAGTCCTCCCATGGGAAGGCGCATGAGTGTGAGAAAGACCCCCAGTGCCGAGCGCACGCTCTGTCCTTCCCTCTGAGCTGCTGCCCCCGTTGATACAACCACACTCACCAAATCCAGCTGACGCCGAGCCACCACCATACAGGAGATAGCAGCTGGTCCCAGGTGAGCCCATCTCTGCTCTGGGCACTGGGAGCCCCACCTGGGGAGGACCAGCCCTGCCCTGCCAGGGAGATGCCAGTTCCACCAGGAAACTGAATGTTGTTCAGTTCAAAAAGACCGAAGAGGGCTGGCCCGGGGGTGCAGCCGTTAAGTTCACACGCTCCCTCTCGGTGGCCTGGGGTTCGTGGGTTCGGATGGTGGGTGTGGACCTACACACGGCCCCTCAAGCCATGCTGTGGCAGTGGCCCACATAAAAAAGACAGAGAAAGATTGGCACAGACGTTAGCTCAGAGCCAGTCTTCCTCACACACACAAAAAGACCAAAGAATGGAAGTCACCAAAATATGTGACTTCCTTAAGACACGGTTAAAAGCCAGTCCCTAATCCAATCATCAGAAAAAGGTGCATTTTTATTGGAACACAAAAAAGGAAAAAAATAAAAGCTTGTAAAAATTTATCAAGAAATCTTGAGATTCAGAATGCCACTTTGGATTAAAATCACTGACGAATAATAGGGTCTGAAAAATATTACATATCAGATCTACAATCAAACAGAGGACAACAAATGGAAAATAATCTCATGAGTCAAGGAATTTAAACTGATTGAAAACTGTGAGTAACGTTAATTTCCCAGACGCTCAGTCAAAGGAGCTAAAGCAGGATTAACCTCATGGTTCTCAGAGCCCAAGACTCAGCCCTCGGCCTCAGCCTCCACCCCAAGCTCTCACCAGAACTCGCCCACGGGGACGGGGGTCCAAGCAGGCCCACATACCACCCAGTGCCGCCTCCTAGCTCCCCTCTTTACCGCCAGTGGGCTGACACTGTCGCTCCCTTTCTGCCTCTTATAAGGACCCATTGGACTTGGGGCCCACTTGAGTAATCCAGGATGACCTCATCTTGAGATCCTTACTTGACTATATCTGCAAAAGCCCTTTCTGCAAATAAGGTCACAGTCACAGGGTCCAGGGATGGGGACACAGACATGTCTTCCAGGGCGGTCGCCATTCGGCCCACTCCAGTTTCTCTCTCCCAGGAAGATCCTTAGCACCAAGTTTGTATCTCTCCTAAGACATCTCTGCTCCCTTGCGTCACTTTGCAGTCCCTGGTGCCTTTGCCTGACCTGCCTGCTTGCCTGCCCTCTCCCGAAAGCAGAGCCTGGGCCTGGGGTGGCTGTCTGCCCACAGCACATGCCCTAGAGCCTGGAGAACCTTGAGATATCACAAGAGACCCCAGGCCTATCTTGTGGAGTACTAGTATAAATTAACCATCTATTTACATTTTATTTAATTTTATTTTTTGCTGGGGAAGATTCGCCCTGAGCTAACATCTGTTGCCAATCCTCATCCCTATTTTTTTCCTCCCCAAAGCCCCACTACACAGCTGTATACTCTAGCTGTAACTCCTTCTAGTTCTTCTGTGTGAGCCGCTGCCACACCCAGGAACCAAACTCAGGCCACTGAAGTGGAACATGCTGAACCCTAACCACGAAGCCATCAGAGCTGGCTCTACATTTTGTTTTTAAAAGATACCACTTCAGGGGCCGGCCCGGTGGCGCAGCGGTTAAGTTCGCACATTCCGCTTCTCAGCGGCCCGGGGTTTGCCGGTTCGGATCCCAGGTGCGGACATGGCACTGCTTGGCACGCCATGCTGTGGTAGGCGTCCCACGTATAAAGTAGAGGAAGATGGGCACGATGTTAGCTCAGGGCCAGGCTTCCTCAGCAAAATAGAGGAGGACTGGCAGTAGTTAGCTCAGGGCTAATCTTCCTCAAAAAAAAAAAAAAACTAGCTCAAAAGATACCACTTCATTGGGGTTTCATAAAAGCAGCAACATTCTTTCTATTAATACTGACGGGTAATTTTTTTTTTTTGGTGTTTGTTGAATAGCAAATGTGAAAAGAACAGTAAAGACACCACTCTATGCACAGTCCACCACTCTTCATTTCGGGCACGTTGAAGTGCAATATGGGAAGGATAAGGGAGAGAGGAGCGTGAGGAGACCAGAAGATGGGCAGACTCCTATGTTAACCAAATAGAGGCCGCCTGAGAAATCAGGTGCACACGGGCCAAACAGCAGAACTTGAGACCGAGGGAGTGCTGTCCTGAGCCGCACACCTGCTGGGTTTTTACCAGTGCCTCCCACAGCCCACAGGCTGGATTTCCTCCAGTCTGTGTTATGGAGCTCATCACGTTCCTCCTTAGCAGGAGCCAGGCAGGGTTGGCAGGGGCAGAGGCCAGGGCATGCTGAACAGCATCGCTGCAAGGAACGGCATTACCCAGGGCAGGTCTGCAGACAGCTGCCAAAGACCAAACCCGGAACTCAAACACTACCCGCATCCAGGGCCCTGAGGTGTCTCCCTGTGGAGCGGGCACGGAACGGATGCCACAGGAGCCCAGGCCGTCACAAGGAGGCAGAGAAGCACACAGCAGGTTCTCGAGAGTCCTCTCCACCTGATGAAACACGGTCATCATGGGTGCAGCGGGGGAGGCACATTACCAGGAAAACGCACCATCCCAAGGGCTCCTGTGTCCCCAAGGGAACAGATGCTCCTAGGGCCTGTCCTGAATTGTGTCTGTACAGCAGGGGAGTCCTCTGTTAAGGACTCTGGAGGAAAAGTCCTCTCTGGAGGGAAAGCATCCCTTACCTACATGTTAGCATGGACCTTTTGTTAAAGCTGGCCCACCCTGGACTTGAAGGCAAAAGGATGAAAGACTGGAAGGAAGCAGCCCTAAAAGGGAGTCTGTGCACCCTGCAGAGCTTTCTCACCTCGCAGCCAGGGTGGTCAGAGTCTGTTTACCAACGCGACGTCAGGCCGAGCAGCCCAGTGAAGAACAATGTGGGAAAGCTGTGCTTTCTCTGTTTTTTTTTTTTTTTATGAGCTGGAAATCCCATCAAAAACACATTCCTGGGCAAACTTGGGGGACAGATACAACAAAAGCAAACTGTCCATGAGCAGGCAAGCATCTCTCTGCCTGGGCAGAGGCCCTCCACACACGCAAGGCCCCCGTTCAACACTCTATGGGAACAGATGCCCCAAGGCCTCCAGAGACTCACTGAGCTGACCAGTCATCCTCCTTGTTGGCTGTGCCACTGTGAAGAGGTGAATATGCTGCAGGGCATGAAGGGGACAGCCCCCCTCGGAATGCAGACAGCCTGGTCCCAGGACTCAGCAGCCCCAAGACAAGGACATCCATGAACCGGATGCCTTCTGCTCTGCTGACGGGTGTCAGCCTCCCAGTCTGCACCCCAGCTTGTACCTGGGTTCAGCACGGGCTGGACGATGTCGCCATTCCTCCACTTGGTCTCCATGCGCTCCAGTTTCTGGGCCTCATACCGCTTTCGGCCTTCCTCCTCTTGCTCCTGCCGGGAATACTGTGGGGAAACAGGGACACGGGGTCAGGCTGTGACGGTGGCAGGGCCATCCTCCCCTTGCCCTCCCTGGCCAGGTGTGGCTCAGCCTCTCAGGCTCAGGGCTGCTGGCCCCTGGTGTGGCCTGCCTTTTTGTAACTGGAACTATCTATTCTTTTTTCTGATAATATATATTTAATATAAATAAAAATACAGCAAAGGCAAAATTCTCATGTAGACTCCCCACCTCCCAAGATAACTTAGGTCAAATGTTTGGTTTCTATCCTTTCTAGAATTGTTTTTATACCCATGTGTATACAAAAAGTTCTACCGCGCTGTATGTGAAGTTTAAAAGTAGCAGTATTTCCTCCTCTCACTCTGTCGACCTAACATAATTTATGTGATAGGTCCCTCATATGTGGGCATTTAGCTTGCTCCCGGTTTTCGACTTTTAAAACATCATACCGACCATGGCAGTCACCTATCATTTACACCTGCCCCATTCCTTCCTAGGACTCTTTCCTGGATGTAGAACTGTGGTCAGGGCTCCGGGGACAGGCCACGCCCACTCTCCCACAGGGCGGGGAGAGAGCAGGTTCCCACGTGCCCCCAACATGGGGCAGCCCTGCTCTGATGACCCCCAGCCAAACAGGCTAAACAATTGCAGGGAATGTGCCCCAAAGCTAAGACAGCCCCCCTGAAGCTCTCCTAGTGGATCACAGGAGTTTTGATCCAAGAAGTTAAAAATAAATGCAAACATAAAACTTGGCACAAAAACTGGGGCTCCTCAGTCCTTTGGGCACAATGGAGGGTGTCGGGCCCTCCTACGTCCACCATCCTCCGGCCCAGTGTAGGGCACTCCCTCCAGGGACCCCTCAGAGAAGCCCCAGGCCCTGACTGCCTGCTTCCCCCAGGTGCCCTCTTCTTCCCTGTCCCAGAGACCACTCTCCTTTGGAGCAGCTCTGACTTCTGCCCTTTCACTCACTCACCCAGCGTTTCCAGCTGAGCCCATGGAGAAGCTGCTGAGCTCCTCGCTGGCCGCAATGAAGCCTCTGTGACATGAACAAATGCACTTCAGGCAGCAATTTCAGACCTCCTTTCAAAAGCCAGTTTTAAATGTCTTATTTTCCTGCTCATGGCTCTGCTCCACAATTGTACAGGGTCTAAACACCATTCCGTGGTTTGATTACCATTATCTTAGGCTTCAGAACCCATCTCTAAAGGCAGCTGCAAAAGGAGCTGAGTGGTTTGTTCAAAAGAAACAAACCTTGGAGTGTTTAAGTTGCAGTGGACAATTTAACCTTTTCCTCATAAATAAACTATTTCTTAACATTCCACTATCCACAGCAACAACTGTAAGAGGAGAGTTTGTGCCGTGCCTATCTAGTAAAATTGATGGCTGAACTTAAGTGTCTTCAAGAAATACCTCTTAAAGAGATTTTTTTACAAAAGAGCTAACCTCCCTGGTCTCATAAATCCTCATTGTGTCCAGCACACTTGACAGACCTCTGCAGTCACATGGGGACTGATGGAGGCCCTGTTCCTGACACAGCCACAAGGACAGAGAAAACACAGCCTCCTCACAAACGCTTCCCTGCTGGCTTTAAATCTGGAAGCAAAATCACTAGAACATTCTAATGATGGGCTGGCACCCGATTCTCACCCCTATGGGCTCATCAAACCCAGCTGATTCGAAGCAGAAGACAGCTGAGCCCAGACATCCAAGACAACAGTCTGTGTGAGCCACTTAACTCAAGCACACGTTTAGACATTGAAAAGAACCAGTGTCCATTCTCCAATGGCCACCCCAGCCTCTCCAGGGCTACAGCTGCCCTCCAGCCACGGCAGCAGTCACTTTTTCCCATCATAGGGCCACTGAGGTCCCTGTTCCCTGGGGAAAAGGTGGAACAAAGTGGCAAAGTCCTACACCAAATGACAGTGCACAGAGCGGGCAGCTGGGCTTCCTCCAGGGAGATACACACGTGCATACATGCATGTGAGAAGTTGGGGGGGACAGGTGTGTGGACGTGGAGGGTGGGTGCATGAATTGTGTGTGTGGAGAGAGAGCGGTGTGTTCTCTAAGGCATCTATATGTATGTGTGTGATAGCTACATGTGTGTATGTGAGGTATATGTGAGGAACATGTAAAATATGCATGTGAGGTATGTGCAAGGTATACAGATATACACACATATATGTAGAAAAAGAGATGTAGTGTTCTTAAATGACAGCTATCTGCAAAGGGCTGGCAGGAGGATGCTGGCAGGATATGCAGAAGGAAGCCTTGTGGCCAAGCTGCCAACAGATGAGCGTAAAAGCCCACTGCAGCCGGACGGAGAAAGACGCAGCTTTCCAGGATCAGGACTCTGGCAGGGTCGTGCCAATGAAAACAGCGACCTATATTTCAAATCATCTGAAGGCTCTTATGTGGGCCTAGCATGTGTGGGGAGAAGAAAGTGCAAATAAATATTAGTGCCGGCTCCAGCTGGGAGCTGTGTGGCTTCTCCCATCTGGAGCTCTTGCTGCTTCTGCCCAGTGGAATAGATTCAACACACCCCTCTCAAGGGCAAAGTTGATATTTATGTCTTGTCAAACCCAACTAAACAAAGGGGATGGGAAAACTACCGGGGCTCCTCCAGGATGTGGGAGGGAGAGCAGGGATGGGGCTGTGGTGGGAGGGGCGATGCTGAGCGCTGCCCTGTCGCGGGGAGAGGGAGGGAAACCAGCTACCGGCTGCTGCCCACCCCTCCCGTGCTGGCTAAAGACCCACCAGCGCTCAGCCATGGGCCCTGAGGAGCCAGAGGAAGCAAACGCTAATGTGTTTAGCCCAGGACGCCTCCTTCAGTATCGGTCCCTTAAGATGCATCATATGGCACTGAAGCCAGAGATACGGCCTGCTAGAGATTTCTAAATTTTGTAGCATCTGAAAATTAAATCAGTTAAATAATTGTGTTAGAGTATTTACACGTGATATGACTAATTTAATATCAAGTGCTTAGAGGAAAAGATGAAAGTGGAGGTAGGTACACTTGTAATTTCTAAAGAGAACAGTCACTGTGCATCCAACAGCTTCTTAGGTCTTAAAATCCCCCAGCTGGTGCTGCTTGAAAAGGATGCAGTCTCCATCTCGCAGACAGAGACAGAGACAGAGAGATAGAGAGAGAGAGAGACAAAGAGGGAGGAAGAGAGGGATGAAGGGAGAGAGGAAAGCTGGTGGGATGGGGCTGGACCGAAAGGCAGTGTTCTGGGTTGAACAGTGTCCCATTGAAATTCCTGTCCACCTGGAACCTGTGCATGTGACCTCTTTTGGAACCAGGGTCTGTGCAGGTGTAATTAGTTAAGATGTGGTCATACTGGAGTGGGATGGACCCTAAATCCAATGACTAGTGTCCATAAAAGGAGAAAGATTCAGAATCACACACACACAACCAGGTGATGGCAGAGAAAGGGGTTGTAGCAATGGAGCCACAAGCCGAGGAACGCCAGCAGCCACCAGGAGCTGGAAGAGGCAGGAAGGATCATCCCCTAGAACCTCTGGAGGGAGCAGGGCCCTGCTGACACTGTGAACTGGGACTTCGGGCCTCCAGACTGAGAATAAACATCTATTGTTTTAAGCCCCACAGCCTGTGGGACTTTGTCACAGCAGCCCCAGGAAACTCATACAGGTGGACTCATGGGAACCATCTGGCTCCACAGCCTGGCCCTGAGCTCCCACCTGCTCTCCTCACGAGCAGAGTGATGGGGAGCACCCATGCTGGCCGAGTACTAGTGGCAGCACCCCCTGCTCTCACGGCACCAAAGGAGGCAACACTGAGCTGACCCAGGCCAAGGTGGAAGCGCCCTTCCCATCAACACCAAGACATTTTCTTCAGGTGTAGACTAAACGGCAGCTGGAGCCCAGCAGCCGACCACTCCACCAGGGTGAACGCCCCACCTGGAGAAATGCCCCATCTGGTCCTTGACTGCCCTCCAGGGGCCCAGGCAGGATGCCCCATTAGACACTGAGCCTGGCACAGGGAGCACCCCTCCCATCGCCCCAGGTGGCCCAGGGTCATGGGAAGGCCCACAGGTGGGAGACAGAACTGGCTTCCTATAGGAGTGGAGGGAGGGGGAGGACACCAAGGAGGAGGACAGGGACCATTGGTGCCAGAAGCACCCAGTTTCTCTGTGAGCTCTGCAAGCAAAAAGAGCAGCATCAGTTCCCGTCTGGTTCCCAGTTCTATTATTTTTAAAAATTTGTTCTATATATATCTCGACTGTAGGAAAACGCTGCCTGCAGGGGCAGACGCCGCTAGAGCCTCGGGATGCTTCCCTCTAAGAACTGCCTTTTTCCTCGTAGGTGTGAAAGCAGAGAGCAGCAAGGCTCCACGGAGGAGCCCACCGCACACGTCCTCATCCTCGGGACATGCGGGGACTTGGGAGTTACAGGGGAGGTGTGTGAGTCCTCCTAGGGAAGGAACTAAATCCCTTCATCGGCCAAATGTTCACCCTCGCCGAGCCTCCCGCCTGGGCCCTGGGCACGAACACGATGAAGTCTTCATGCAGAGATCCGTCTGCCCACAGCAAAACCAGGAGAGAAACCAAGGGAGGAGAGGGTGCCAGCAGGGGCCATGAGGGGAGAGGCTAAAACAGAGATGCCATAGTGTCCGCATCCTCAGGGGCTGTGAGGGGGAGCGGCTGGCCTGGGTGGGGGTGTCCAGAGGTGATGGCAGAGGACTGACTCATCACTGGCACAGTCTTGGCACCTGCCCTTCCTCTGGTTGGGGACTGTGACAAAGGGGACTCCGTGAGGAGCATCCACAGGATCTGAGCCACCTACACACGCATTCCCAGCATGAGTTGAACCTGCGCTGAGAGCCCCCTCCCCACTGGCTTCCAGCTGGCAGACGCACCCTGCCCCCGCTGTTGCTCTCCTGGGACACCTCCCACGACAGTGGGAGACGGCAGTGACGGGCCTCTGCCATCTGCCGGGCGAGCAGCAGAACAGCCCTCCTTACCACGACTGGAGGCACCTCCAGGACCTTGTCCACGTTCTTCAGCGACAGGGGCACATACCACAGCGTGGCCTTATTGGTCAGCTTCTTGGTACCTTCAGAGAAGAAAAGCACGTGAGTGACAGCCTGGGAGGCAGCAGGAGCTGAAACACCGCCACCTCTGGTTCCCGACCCGCAAGGCCTCCCTGAGCCTCAAGGTGAGAGCGTGGGCACGGAGCCTGGGCGAGGCTGTGGCCCCCCGGCACAGAGGTCCTCCACACAATGCTGTCCCTCTCCAGAGGCTGCAAGAAAAGCTTTAGGTCTTAAAGCCCGGGTTTAAGCCCGGGGGGTCTCAGGCCTGCTGGCTTTCTAGCCTTTTCTAAGGCAGAGGACCCGTGCACAGAGGGCACTGACTCCAAGCATGCTCCTCCTTGCAGGTGGTGACAGAGGGGAGTTTGGTCGTTAACACATGCCAGAAGCGTGGATTTGCTGCCAGCTGACTCAGAGCTCCAATCCAGAGAGGGGCTGTAGGCTGCTGACTTCTACTCTGGGCAGAATGGCAGGAAACAGGGCCTTCCTTGGGGCAGAGCCCGCCCTCAGGGCAGAGTGGGGCTGTGAACCACAGGCTCATGGCCCTTTGGTGCCAAAAAGTGCCTGGAGATCACTTGGTCCACATCCCTCACTTGTTCAGGAGGAGCCTGAATCTCAGAGAGGTCCTGGGTTTGCCTAGGATCACACAGCAACTTGGTACCTTTCTGAGTAAAGACCTAGGCCGCCTGGGGCCCAGTAATTTCAGGGAAGTATTTGCAAGGAGCCTTTAAAAAGTTGCCTCTTCAACATGGAAGATTCCCAATGTACAGGAGAACAGCAAAACTGCAGGACAGGGAGAGGACATGGGGAAGGCGAGGGGCAGCCAGGCACCCTCTCCAAAGTCCCTCCAGGATCTCCGTTCTACTAGTCCCCTCCGACCTGCTCTTCCCCAGGTGAACCTGAGGCTGCACTTTCCTAAACCAAGGACCAAGTCAAGCCCCGGGGGGTCAGTCAGAAAGAGGGTGAGCCCCACGGGGGTGGTCCTAGTCCTAAACCCCAGAATGGTCACTATTTGGCCCTGACACAACAGCACCATCAGGACAACAGGCTCCCTGTGCCTGGGAACCACATGCAATAATGTGGGAAAAGATTTTCACTGCACTTGACTGAGTGAATCTGACAACCTGCTTTTGGGAATAAAGATTTCCGGTTTGACTCAGCTAGAGCCAGCCTGACAAGCTGGTTTCCATGGAAACCCCAAGTGGCCCTCCTCTAGACCTAAATGAACACCATGGAGCAAATGAGGCAAAACATGCTAATTGTACTTTCTCCATCATTTAATAAAACCATCAAAAGACAACTGCTGCATTAAAAACATCTATTTTAAAATCTTAGGAGCTCCTAGATATTTTCTGGAGCAATTCGCAGCAATCACGTCCCAGTTAGCTTAATATTTTGACAGTTGTGGGAGATGAATGAGCTGTCTGGAAGGCAAAAGTTTGCTGGTTGTCTGCCTGGGTGTGTGCTCGCTTGGCTGCCTCATGACAGGCAACACAGTCCCCGGTCGAGGGGGACACACAGAATGAGGGACCCCTGCCTCCTGGGGTCGAGACACAGAAACGTCACAAACAGCTTCATGGGACAGCCTTGTCAGGGTGAGTGACCCCGTATGAGTCATCAGCTCACCAATCTCAGTCTCCCCACCTGTCAGAGCTCACTGAGTGCCCGCTGGGCCAGGCACTGCTCCAGGCATTGGGGCAACTGCAGTGGACAAGGTGGCCACGAGCCATGCCCTCACAGGGCTCACATCCTAGTGGACATGTGGGCAGAAAAAGACATCTCAAGACAGGAAGCCCTCTAGAGACGCAGGGTCCCAGAATGAGATGCACAGATCCAAACCTGGAAACATGGAGAAAGGATGACAGAGACAGATGCACAGAAGCGGCAATGAGAGACACAGAGAGGGAGAGAAAATGAGAGTAAGAAAGGCAGTGTCTGGCCTTTCAGCAGGGGCTCCAGGGCAAGATGACCAAGGTGTGTAGCCACAGCCCTCGGGGCTCCAAGTCCCCATGATATGGGGGAGGCCTGAGGCTGGGAAGGAGAACACCAGGGCTGGGAACCTGGCCCCAGCTCGAAAGCCTGAGCAGTGCTGGCCCCTCCCCTGCCTTCTCCAAGCCTCTATTTTCTCACCAGCACAGTGGGATAACACACCTGCCCCACTGTCGCATGAGCATGAACACCCAAGGCAGGGCTCCTCACTGCCGGTTCTCTCCTTCAAAGGGCAGTTCAGGTGCTGCATGCCCATTCTGAAGGGAAAGAGCAAGGCTGAGGGCTGCAGCAGCTGGGTATGCTCAGAGGAGGTGGAAAGCAGAGGGCTGTCACCTCGCCCACTCCACCCTCTTGCCAACATGGGCTCTGGGCAAAAGTCTCCTGCCTCTCTGTGTCCACTCCTGCTCCCTGCAGTGGGTGGAATCCTTTAGAAATTGAGTTTAAGCATGTCATTCTAGACAAAACCCTCTGTCGGCTTCCCATCTCAGTGCAGAAGCCCAAATCTTCCAGATAAGCTCTGTTCGTTCATGCATTCATCAATTATTGATTCTTCATCTGTTATGAGCCAATGGAAGCTGCCAGGAAGAGGAAGACACAATTCTTTCCCTCGGAAGGTCAGGATCCAGGGTGCGGCTTCTCGACCTCAGCACTGCAGATATTAGAGGCCAGATCACTCTTTGTGATGGAGCTGTCCTGTGCACTGTAGGGTGTGCGGCAGCATCCCTGGCCTCTGCCCACTGGATGCCAGTAGCACTGCCCCAATTGTGACAACCAAAAATGGCCCCTTGAGAACTATCACGCTGGGGATTGAGCCAAAATCCCAAGCATCCCTATGATGCAGTTGGAGCATGCTGTGGCTGAGAGACACGCCTTGCACATCTGAGGAGGTGGTGGGTGGGAGTGGGCACCAAGCCCAGAGATGGTGGGAGCTGGGCAGAAGGTCCCACCCAAGGTGCACCAGAGAGCACAGACCAAAGACGCCACAACCTAAAGATGGAGATGCATCCTCCAAGACACAGGTTTAGGAGGCAAAGGTGAGTCTGGGTTCTCCAGGCCCTTTGAGATTGGCAGTGGTGACCTCAGGAAGGCAGGCCTCTCCGACTGCTCCCACCTCTCCCCCGTCTCCTGGTATATTCTCTTCAGAGGGGTAGCTCCAAGCTGGTGATGCACTGGCAGATTCGCACAGTCCCTGAGGTTAATACTCAGAGCAGCCCCATGTGGGACCTTCTTACCTCTGAGAAGCAAGAGCCTCCAAATCCGCCCTCAACCAACACGCCTGCAACCTAACACACCCACAACCCAACAGACCCTCAACCCAACATGTCCTCAACCCAACATGCCCTCAACCCAACACACCTGCAACCCAACGCAACCTCAACCCAACAGGCCCTCAGCCAAACACACCCTAAACCCAACACACCTTCAACTCAACACACCCTCAACCTAATACGCCCACAACCCAACAGGCCCTCAGCCCAACACACACTCAACCCAACAGGCCCTGAGTCCAATGCACTCTCAGCCCAAAAGGCCCTCAACGCAACAGGCAACCCAACACACCCTCAACACAACATACCCTCAGCCCAATGCACCCTCAGCCTAACATGCCTAGTGAGGTGTTTCTTCTCTTTCTCCCATTTCCCGAAGGCCTGATAGAGAGCCAGGTCCCATACGCACCCACTTCAACTAGGACAAATGATGGGAGGTGAGCTCCGCTTTTAAAGCCCAAGAAGCCCTTCCTCTCTCCTTGCCTCTCTTCCCCATTTGCACTCTGTTCATTGGGGGTTCCTCTCGGGCGTGGCCTCTGACATGCAAGAAAGGAGGTTTCGACGATGGGAATCTGTGAAGCAGGCCCCTCTTCCCACTTTTGAAGTTGCTGACTCCCTGACAATGGAAAATCACGATGAAAACACAACACTGTTGAAATCACTATCAACAAATAAAGGTGAAGATCAAGAGAAGCTGAGCACAGCAATTTCCCCTCTTCTGTCAGGAGAGGGGAAAGGTTTAACCCCCCCAGCACAGCCCAGGAAAGGAGGTCTGGGCCCAAGGGCCAACCACAGATGGAGGGAAGGATGATCACAGGTGGAGGGAAAGATGACAGGGACTCTAAGCCCCCGAATGTGAGGAGACAGTGCCCAGCCACCCCTTTCTGTGCCACAGCCTGGGACCAGCATCAAAAGGTCCCTCTGATGCCAGGGCTGCCTGCCAAGTGCAGGGCTCAGGCCACACTGAGGCACAGGTGTGCTGGACTGCTACCCCCACCCTAGGCCCTTGCTCAGCTAAATCATTCACTGTGCTGTACCCAGGCCTGCTGAGGTCACCGGAATGTTCCAGATCGATAACTGTGCTCCTGGCCCATGAAGAGAGAAGCCTTGAGTCCCTTACAGAGTCGGAGCACAGCACTCTGCAGGCAGCCACGGCTGAGGAGGGGGAACGGGGAGGAAGGTGCAAGACCCAGGCAGCTCCTTCCTCCAGAACCGACTTGGACTCTCCTCTACGTGGGACAATGGGTGGCCTGTGACAGGAGGTGGGCAGCGAGGGGACGAAGGGGTCTGCCTTCTTCAACAGCAGCCCAGTTATAAAAAGCAGTGAGTGCAAGTGCAAATGGAGCCAGACTCCCCTGCAGTGCCCAGTGGGAGGATGAAAGGGGTTTCCATGGTTACTACACCGAGGAAGAGAATATTCAGATCCTGAGTCAAAGGTTTGCCCAGTGAGCTATAGCCCAAGCCTGGTTTGTGGGGCCAGGGAAGCAGGGTAAAGGGCCAGGGCAGGCCTCTCGGGGCAATTCCACTGGGCAAGGAAGGGTGAGGCAGGCAGGGAGAGGTGGCAGAGGGGCAGGAGGCCAGTTTGTGCCCTCTCAGCCCATTCCCCTCCCTCTGCCCCGGACAAGCAGGCCAGAAGGTGGGACAGTGGTTGCACACTCAGGCCCAGAGCCGACAGCCAGGGTTTGAATCCTGCTCTGGAGGTGTAATCTTGGGCTCACTGCTTAACCAGACTGTGCCCCCATTTCCCCATCTGCAAAGCAAGGATGGCAGAAGTATCTGCTCACAGGCGGAGTGGGAATTAAGGGAGGTCATTTGTGGACAGTGTTATTAGGACCAGCCCCTAGAGCAGAGTCAGCCCTTAATCAGTGTGAGCTGGGCTGCTGCCTAATTGTCATTGCTGTCATGGCTGCTGTTCCCAACCAAGCCAACTGGGTGAGGCGCGGAAGTTACCTGTGAGGATGTTTTCGGACATCACGTTGACCTGTACTTCCACGGAGTGCTTGGAGGTGTAGGTGATCCCCGCGCTGACGTGGGCCACCTCGCCAATGCACATGGGTGACAGGAAGTCAGTGCGCTCGACCCGGGCCAGGGCAGCCACGCAGCGCTCCTGCAAAGACCAGAGACGGTCAGCCCGGCTGGCAAGCCCTGACCCTGGAGATGCTCCTCAAAAACTCTTTCTTTCTTTTCCACTGTGAAAGTAATGCAGCTTATTGACACCACACAGTCCTAAATGCAAAACCACAGGAGATGCAGACATGTCCCACAGGACCCCACCAAAGCATTCGATAAAGGTGATTCTCTGAGTGGTGTGATCACAAGTGGCTTTTTTCTATTTTCTAATTTTTCTACAGAAGACATGTAGCACTTACATAATGAAGAGTGAAAAAAAGACATACATACTCATTATGGAAAATTTGGGAAATATAGAAAAGTAGACAGAGGCAGGGAAATCGCTCCTCCCGTCCAAAGACAACAGCAGTTTCTATTTTGGGATCTTTCTTTCCAGGCTTTTTCCCTAAGAATAGGGGTTTTACTGGTTGCTTTGTTTGTTTGACTGGCTCCTTGTTTCACAGTTTGTCTTACATAAAGTTGTGCAAAAGCTAAATATATACTTTCACAATCTGCTTTTTTCCCTCAACAGGAGGAAAAATAACCTGCCTGTGTTACAACAAGCTCTTTGCAATCCCTATTTTTTTCTTTTATTTAAACTTTATCCTTCAAATAGGCAAGGCATTCTCATGACTCAAAATTCACAAGGAACAAAAGCTGTGGCACCAGGTCAGCCGCAGTGACGGGGCCTCCCAGGACCCCCTCCGTAACGGATGGGACACAGCCAGTGGGTACAGCAGCCCCTGAGGACCCAGCTGGGGGCACCCCATAGTCTACTCTAGAGCTCATTCTCTGCTGGAACACGAAGGACTTCCTCACCAGTTTCCATGATTGCCATTTCACAATACTCCATTGCAAAAATATTTTTAATGGTCAGACAGAGTGGAATATTCTTCTCTTAGAGATTTAGGTCAACCCCAATTGTTTCCTATAAACAATCTTGAGGTGGCTGTCCTTTTACTCATGTCGTTTTCGGTACTGGGACTGTTTCCTGGGTGGATGACACAAATACTCTCACACATTTCCAAGGTACTTCTCAACAGGACAGCAGTGCCTGACGGGACCTCGGCACCTCCCAGCACCAGCTCTGAGAATCGGCTTATTTCTCATCTGTTGCTCACTGGGTGACACAAAAGACGGCCCTGTGTTTGAGCAGTGGGACTGCGGATCTTCACTGCCAAACAGAGCACCTAGCGCTTTTATGGCTGTCAGACAGCAGTTGTCTATTGTTTAGGTGTCAGAGAGCATGGGTCTGCGACACTCCCTGACTACCCTGGGGTGGGGCGAGGGCGGGAGTCAGGGGTTCACTTTTGAGAGCCTATCTTTCAAGCCCTGTGTCAGCACCAGTATTTGCTTTCCCAGTTAATCTGCACAGCACCCCTTTTGCACCCCAAATTTGCAAGGGTTGGAGATATGAGGCTTGTAGGTGATGGTCAGTTCAAGCCCTGGTGTGTCTGCGCTCTTCCCGCGAGCTGCCTGCTGCCACCTGTGGCAGCATGCAAACTCCCTGACCCACCCCAAACCCACAGGACCTGCCTCTTTGGAGGGACGCCAGGGGACCTCCATCTTCACCCCCTCTCGGTGATTCTCAGGCACACGGCATCAGGGCTTCCGTGACCGTTTCTGCTCCTATGAACATCCCAGAGTCAGGTCTCTGCCAGGCAGGAGACCAGGGTGACTGGGAGACTAAGCGGGCTAAGGAGGCAAACGCAGCGGTGGCTTCCCCACTCTGATTCGCATGGTTTTGTTCCCCTCCCCCCCGCCCCCCAAACAAGTCACCCATTGCCTCTAAAACAACAGGCAGGAATTTCATCCCTAAGTAAATTCACGTGTCTGCAGTGCCACCCACTGGCAGAAAGGCAGCGCTAAGTGGAGCCAAGCAAGAATGAGGGGCCAGGCTCTGGGCCGCTTCTCAGAAAGATCCAAGCACTGCTTACAAGAGCAAAAAACAGAACTAACCCAGGTGTCTTTTAAGACAGTGGCTAAATTAGGGGATGGCTATGCCCACACACAGGTGACGCACATGCACACACGCAGTAACATTTTACAAGGAAAGTCGGCTTGCTTCTCACATCTCTGCACGTCCGAGCCTTAGATGGCCCTGAGCCTTCTCCCGGCCACAGAGGCACTCCTGCATCGGCTGACCATGGAGCCAGGCACCGAACTCGGCGCTGGCATTCGAGGGGAGCAAGTCAGAGTGCCTCCCTCCACCTGGGTTCTGCCTGGGGGGATGGATGACAATCAGGAAACAGGGCAATGCCACACGGTGTTGGGTGCTCTGAAGAGGACGGTGCAGCATGTGAGGGGTGGGCAGCTTCAGATGAGGGGGCCAGGCACCTCTCTAGAGAAGGTGCATTTGAGCTGAGACCTGAATGACAAAGTGTCAAGCAGGAGAAGGTGTGCAGGGTGTGGGCACCCGGGGCAGAGGGGCGAGGAGGGCAGACCCCACAGGGGAGCTGGAGCTGGGCTGCGCGCCAGGGGGATGAAGCAGGAACGCGGGAAAAGAGGTGAACAGGGCCTGTAGGGCCAGGTGAGGAGTGGGCCAGGGCCTCTCTGGGAGGGGCAGAGGAGACACAATCGCAGACTCGCTCACTTTTTAGGCCACACATTTCAGAGTTGCACGTATTTTAGCAGGGGCATTTGTTTTTCCTTCCAGAATCCAGAACACAGAAGGAAGGACTTGAGGCAGGAGGATACAGAGCTCCTCTCCCTGCTGTCCTGACGGATGCTCTTCACACAGACCCGCCAGAAGCCTTCAGGCCTGGCACAGGGGCGCCTGGGGACTGCCTCCTGCTTGCTCTTCCCAGGCTGGAGGCCACTTGCGAATCTTAAGCTTGGTTCTCTCTGGGCTTAAAATACTAAAGGAGGGGCCAGCCCCGTGGCCAAGTGGTTAAGCTCACGCGCTCCGCTTCGGTGGCCCAGGGTTTCGTCGGTTCGGATCCTGGGCGCAGACATGGCACTGCTCATCAGGTCACGTTGAGGCAGCGTCCCATATACCACAACTAGAAGGACCCACAACTGAAAAATATAACAACCATGTTCTGGGGGGATTTGGGGAGAAAAAGCAGAAAGAAAAGAAAAGATTGGCAATAGTTGTTAGCTCAGGTGCCAATCTTTAAAAAAAATACTAAAGGAAAGATTGTTTACTGGGCAGCCCCTTAGGAGTCTCACAACACTCTCATTTCATTATGACATGACCCTGTGAGAGAAGCTTTTGCTGTGACTGTGGATCCAGCTTGGGTGCAGGTGGCACAGGCTGGGACCCAGGGTGGCTCCAACTCGACTCTGAGCTGCTGTTTCCCGGGGTCTAGCAGGGCATTGGGCCCACCTCAGGAGTTCCATAAAGACTGGCGTGATCCAAAAACTCAAAATGTGGACTGACGAATATTTGCACTCAGTATGAGGATCTCTGAGCTGTAGGCATCTCTGGCTCCCAGGTGCCTCAGACACACCCCACAACTCCCTGCTTCTGGGGCTGAATGGGAGGAGCAGCCCCACACTGAGAAGCATCCAGGTGTATTCTGATTAGCATCTACCCCAAGAAGCGCCCTCTGCCATGCTCCCAAAGGTGGCTCGCACGGCACTGCCTGTTGGGCACAGGTGTCCGGGAAAACCATGGGGGCTGGGCTCCTGAGCAGCCACAGGCTTCAAGCCAGGACAGCAGCCCCAGAAGCAGAGCCAGAAAGTACAGCGCTGGGCCCTGGGCTCAAATCTCGACTCTGCCACTTACTAGCTCTTGACCTTGGGTAGTAACTTCCCTGCTCGATGTGTCAGTCTCTTTCTAAAATACAGATAAGAAATGGTACCAGTGGACTGCCGCCAGGATTCGAGGGGACAATGCATAGAGAGGAGAGGGCTGAGACACCCCTCTCCCACAGATGTGGGTATTAGATCAGTAATCAAATGGGTCCAGAAAGGGTTAGCTCCGATTACTGTTATTATTTGAGCCGCAACTGCCCCTACACTGACTCAGGCCACCCTTGGCTGATGCCAGCTTAGAAGATGCAGTTTCGTGGGACTTTTGGAAAGCCCAATAACTTTTCTAGGCCTCCGTTTCCTCACCTGCAAAGTGTGGCTAAGGAGACGGTTGGAAAGACTGCCCAGGTCAGGAAGGCCAAGCACTCAGCATGGTCCCTGGAGCATCCTAAGCGCGCATTAAACAGAAGCTCTCCACAGGAGGACAATTCCAGACACACACTTCTGGCAATCAGCAGATGGCTAATGGGAGCCTGCTATGTTCCAGGCCTTGGTCCAGATGCTAAGCATCCAGCAGGGGACCAAAAGGCAAAAGTTCTGCCCTCATGGATCTTACACTCTAGTGGGAGAAGAAGCCCAAATATAAATGAGCAAAACACACAGTGTACCAGAAGTGATAGTGCTGTGGAAAACAACAGCTGGGAGCAGTGAGGGAGCTGGTCATCAGGGAAGGCCTGAGTGGGGTCGTATTTATGCAGAGACTGGAAGGAGGTGAGGATAAGTCACGTGGATATCCAGGGAAAGAACGGCCCAGGGAGACAGAAGAGTCAGTCCAAAGGCCCTGGGGCAGGAACATCATCAGCCAGTTCAAACAGCAGCAGGAGAGCTGGTGTGGCCCAAGGGAGTGTTGAGGGGAGGGAGTAGCAGATGAAGACTTGGAGATGGGGACAACAAGTGAGGCAGTCACAGGGACTTGTGTGGACTTGGGCTTTTACCCTGCGAGAGACGGGAGTCACACTCACGGAGTGATGTGCTCTGACTTCATTTTAAAGGATCTTTCCGGCTGCTGTTAGAGAAGAGACAAGGTGGGCAGGGATAAGCAGGGAGACCTGTTAGGAGGCTGTTTAGGCAATTCAGGTGAGAAGTCACGGTGGCTTGGACCGGATGATGGTAAAGCTGGTGAGTGGCGCTCAGATTTGGAATTATCCAGAAGGTGGAGCCAATAGGATTGGATGCCAGTGTCCACGGATGCAACAGGAAGAGCAGGGTCAGTGGAGGCACTAGGTTTTGAGCCTGAGTAACTTGGGGCCAGGGAGGTCATTTACGGAGAAGGAGACTGCACGAGAAGCGGCCTGGGGGCAGGTCCAGACTGTCTTTTTGGGCCGTCAAGGTGGAAGGGCCAATTAAGGATCCAGGTGGAGTCAGCTAAGAGGCCCTAGCTGAAGACAGAACCGCGGGGCTACACTGTGCTATTAAAGCCACACACTGGATGACGTCACAAGGGGTGGGTGGATGGGGGTGCCCCCTGCCCTACCCAGAGCCCCAGCAAGGACCCTCAGAGGCCAGCATCAGCTCTCAGCCCAGTATCCAGCCACCTAGAGCTCACAACCCCTCTCCTGAGCCTGAACTTCCAGAAGGTTACCCTGGGACCACCAGCCCAGAGGTATCTCCAAGCCAACGGGTGAAACCTGAAGCTCCTGCACCCCCAGGCTCACTCCGGGGAAGCAGTGAGGAAGAGCAGGGGCTCAGAGCACAGGTTCAAGGCCTGGATTCATGGCCCAAACCTCCACCTGCCTCCCTATGTAACCTTGGGCAACCTCTCTGTGCCTCAGTTTTCTCATCTGTGCACAGGGACTAATAAAAACAGCCACCTCTGCCTGTGAGGGGTGTCACGAGGACACAAGCTAAAGCTCTCCAGAGCTCTGTGCCCTGAGTGCTCACCACATGCTGGCAGCTCCTCGGGGAGCGTCCCGCACCCGGCTCCCATGCCCCTCCTCCTCCCTCACTCCCCAGTCCTGGGGCTTCTCCTTCCCAATGTCCAGCCTCTCTCACCAGGCCTGCCTTGGACTCTGTCTCTCTCAGAGGGTCTCCCCGGGGCTTGGCCCCAACCAGCCAGCCCCGTCCTCCCACCACCACAGCGCTGTCTGACAGTGGCCAGGTTGACCCCAGAACTCCAAGGGCACCCCAATAGATCCAAATTCCTGTGAGGCTGGCGAGCCCCCCTTCACAGCAAGGGCCCAGCCCAGCCCCCCAGTCTCTCCCCGTGTGGAGGGCCCCACACCCACACCCACCCAGCACACTCACCCCGGCTTGGCTCGCTCTATACACACATGCATGCACACACACTACGCCGGTGTGGAATCTTCCTCTCGCAGCACCGCAGGCGGCTAGCGAGGCCACAGGTTCAGAGGGCGCAGCGCCCTGCAGCACTGCTTCTGTGCCAGCCCCAAGATGCCCGCTGCTGCACAAGACAGATCCTCCCCACCCCAAACCCGAGGGCAGGCTTCCCTCCTGCAGGCAGGCCTTCAGAGAAATGGCAGGGGCACGGCAGGGGATGATAAGCTGAATGCCCTGCAGCTGCCCTGAAATCCTAAATCCAGAAGGCCTGGCCCTCGTCACCAGCAGCAGGTGGAGAGCTGGCACCTCCGAGGGCACTCATGCAGGGCCTGTTGGGCTTCACAGCCAGGAAGCCGTGGAGGCAAGCGCACCAGCGCTTGCCCACAGCCACCTGGGGGTAGCCTGGGGAGGGACCTAGGTCCTGGATGGTCTGACACCCATGATAAACTACTACCCACGCAGCAGGGATCCGTGAGGGCTGGGCTCCCAGGGCGTTCAAGAAGCTAAGACTCTTCCAGAATGGAGGGGGAGGTGCTGAAAAGGCGGCTCTGTCAGCTGAGTCTCAGTCTCTGGTGGTCCCCACCCCTCCTCGGTGGGCCCGAAACCAAGCGCCATTCCAAGGGATCTCCCATCCAGGACTGATTGTGCCAGAGATTCCAGAAGCCCCCAAGGCCCGGGGCCAAGGGAGGGGGAGGCTCCAGGCCTGGGCTCCATCCAAACTCCTTTCCTGACCCAACAGTGGTACACACTGCACACAGGGGCGCCAGGCCTCCTGGGGACTGGAACCTTCCGCGTGATCTCAGCTAGGCTGGGGGAGGGGTCCGCAGGCGCTTACCCCATTCTGACTGTTACAGTGCCGGGTGCTGATGATGGCCCCCGCCTCCTCGATCATCTTCAGGATGGTTCCCCCATGGACGTTGCCGGCCACGTTGGCATCGTCTGGCCGCATGATCCTAGGCAGAGGAGAGAGAAGGAGCAGGATGAAGCCTCTGGGAAGGATGTCACTCGTGAACAGTGACAACCTGGGGAGAGGAGAAGGTGTTCCAAAGGGCTTGATGGCTCCCAGAGAAGGGAAAAGAACTTTCCACATGTTGGACAGGGTGGGGTGCTGACCTGACAGGCCAGACAAGGGGCTTCAGGGTCGTGTTTCCACGGGAGAGAGGAGGACAGAGAGGGGGCCTTTCCCCTGAAGCCATAGGCACCCACCCGCCCTTGGCGGGGAAGGGGTGATAGCAGGGACCTTTGGCAAAAGCAGTGAGGCAGCGGCACGGCTTGGAGGTTCCCTGAATGGCTGCCTCTTCAGGTCCCCAGGCCCACCAACGACCAGCAGGGCTGAATGAGCACAAGGACACAGGCTGTGACCCCTTGGATGATGGACAAATTCCCAGGACCACCACCTCGGTTGGGAGTCCCAGGGGAGTGGCTGTTCTGAGAACTGGAAATGTGCCACAGCTTTGAGAAGCCGGTAGCAGGTGAAGGCCCGCTCAGCGCCTGCCCCTGGCCTGCTGAGCTCCTCAGGGGCACCCGAGGGGCCTGATTCCCTGATGCTGAGAGCTTGGAGCTCCCTAAGGGCAGGGAGAACTGAAACACAGCCCATTTCCCCAAAGAGGAAAAACCGCATCCTTGCCGTGGGCAGCCGGCAGCAGAGAAGCTCCATGAAACCCCTGGAATCCCAGCCAGCCAGCCTGGTGCTCCTACTGTGGGCAACGCCAGCCAGCTTGGCACCTTCCCAGACAACCATCTGGCTAGTGAAATCTGACTGCAACGGCCTCAGGCTTGGAGACAGGTGTCACGGTTCCAGCGTGCCCGGCACCCACCTGCGGATCCCCCAGCCTGCTCCTGCCCCACTGGCTAGTGTGGCCCCCAGGACCAGCACCCCTCCACTCTGGGCCACAAAGCAGCCTCCGGGTCTAGCATTTCCTAACGGCTCCTTTCACAGCTCCGAGGATAAGCCAGACTCAGGAATCGTTCCTGCTCCCATTCTTACTAGCTGGATGGCCTGGGCAAGCTGTCAAAACTCTCATTCCTCCACTTCCTTGTCTGTAAAATGGGCACAATAATAGTACTGCCGCCCTGGCCCATGGGAGGACTGACTCACACGAGATAATGCCGATAAAAGCCCAACAGTGCCTGGCACACAGCCAATCAGATACTTGTTCATCAGTAGCATCTTCCCTCCTCTGTAAGCAGTCAGCCAACCTACTGCAGGAAGGTTAGAAGTGCCAGGAAAGAGCTGTGAGATGCCATTTCTGAGAGCAAAGGAGTACTGACATCCTGGGGTGACTGACAGCTGTCTGTACCATCCCCATCCCCAAACATCACCCCTTCATTCCGGGGGACGTCTGGCTACAAGAATCACAGCCACGCAGGCCACTGGCTTCTCACCCTGCATCAGCTGCTCAGGGGCAACAGGCAGCGACCCAGGCAGTGACCCCAGAGCACAGGAAAGAAGCTTCACTTGGCTTCTCAAATGTTCACGTGAAAATATTTTTGAATCAACTCAAAATGGATTAAAGACTTGAACGTGAGACCTAAACCCATAAAACTCATAGAAGAAAACATAGGCGGCAAGCCCCCTGACATCAGTCTTGGCAAAGACTTTTTGGATTTGACCCCAAAAGCAAAGGCAACAGAAGCAAAAATAAACAAATGGGACTACATTAAACTAAAAAGTGTCTAAACAGCAAAGGAAACCATCAACAAAATGAAAAGGCAACCTACTGAATGGGAGAAAATATTTGCAAATCATATATCTGATAAGGCATCAATATCCAAAATATATGAAGAACTCCCACAACTCAACAGCAAACAAACAAATAATTCAATGTAAAAATGGGCAGAGGAACTGAACAGACATTGTTCCAAAGAAGACATGCAGATGGCCAACAGGGACATGAAAAGGTGCTTAACATGACTAGTCATCAGTAAACGCAAATCAAAACCATAATGAGATATCACCTCACACCTGTCACAATGGCTGTTATCAAAAAGACAAGAGATGACGTGTTGGCAAAGAAAAGGGAAAAGGGATCCCTTGTGCACTGTTGGTAGGAATGGAAATTGGTGCAGCCACCATGGAAAACAGTACGGGGTTCCTCAAAAAGTTAAAAATAGAACTACTACATGATCCAGCAATTCCACTTCTGCATATATATCCAAAGGAAATGAGATAGCTCCGCCTCCATGTTCACTGCAGTATTATTCACAATAGCCAAGATATGGAAGCAACCTAAGCATCCATCCACAGATAAATGGATTAAAAAAACGTGTACATAAACAATGGAATATTATTCAGCCATAAGAAAGAAGGAAATCCTGCCATTTGCAACAATATGGATGGACCTTGAGGGTGCTATGCTAAGTGAAATAAGTCAAATAGAGAAAGATAAGTACTTTATGATCTCACTTATACATGGAATCTAAAAAACCCAAACTCAGATACAGAAAACAGATTGGTGGTTGCCAGAGATGGCGGGTGGGAGTGGGAGAAATGGGTGAAGGGGGTCAAAAGGTACAAACTTCCAGGTATAAAATAAATAAGTCCTGGGGATGTAACGTACAGCATGGTGACTAAAGTTAACAATCTCGTATCATATATTTGAAAGCTCGAAGACAGTAGATCTTAAAAATTCTCATCCCAAGATAAATTTAACCAAGGAAGTGAAAGATCTATACAACAAAAACTACAAGACCCTCTTGAAAGAAATGGACGACGACATAAGGAGATGGAAAGACATTCCATGCACATGGATTGGAAGAATAAACATAGTTAAAATGTCCATTCTACCTAAAGCAATCTACAGATTCAACGCTATCCCAATCAAAATTCCAATGTCATTCTTTACAGAAATTGAACAAAGAATCCTAAAATTCATATGGGGCAACAAAAGACCCCGAATTGCTAAAGCAATCCTGAGAAAGAAGAACAAAGCTGGAGGCATCACAATCCCTGACTTCAAAACATACTACAAAGCTACAGTAATCAAAACAGCATGGTACTGGTACAAAAACAGATGCACAGATCAATGGAACAGAATTGAAAGCCCAGAAATAAAAGCACACATCTATGGACAGCTTATCTTTGACAAAGGAGCTGAGGGCCTACAATGGAGGAAAGAAAGTCTCCTCAACAAATGGTGCTCGGAAAACTGGACAGCCACATGTAAAAGAATGAAAATCAACTATTCTTTTTCACCATTTACTATAATAAACTCAAAATGGATCAAAGACCTAAAGATTAGGCCTGAAACAATAAGTCTTCTAGAAGAGAATATTGGCAGTACACTCTTTGACATCAGCTTCAAAAGAATCTTTTCGGACACCATAACCCCTCACATGAGGGAAACAATAGAAAGAATAAACAAATGGGACTTCATGAGACTAAAGAGCTTCTTCAAGGCAAGGGAAAACAGGATTGAAACAAAAAAACAGCCCACTAATTGGGAAAAAATATTCACAAGTTATTTATCCGACAAAGGGTTAATCTCCATAATATACAAAGAACTCACACAACTCAACAACAAAAAATCAAACAACCCAATTACAAAATGGGCAGGGGACATGAACAGACATTTCTCCAAAGAAGATACACGGATGGCCAATAGACACATGAAAAGATGCTCATCATCACTAATCATCAGGGAAATGCAAATGAAAACTACACTAAGATATCACCTTACACCTGTTAGAATGGCAAAAATATCCAAAACCAAGAGTGACAAATGTTGGAGAGGCTGTGGAGGAAAGGGAACCCTCATACACTGTTGGTGGGAATGCAAACTGGTGCAGCCACTATGGAAAACAGTATGGAGATTCCTCAAAAAGTTAAGAATAGAAATACCTTATGACCCAGCCATCCCACTACTGGGTATCTATCCTAAGAACCTGAAATTAGCAATTCCAAAAGTTCCATGCACCCCTATGTTCATCGCAGCATTATTCACAATAGCCAAGTCATGGAACCAACCTCAGTGCCCAGCAACTGATGACTGGATAAAGAAGATGTGGTATATGTATACAATGGAATACTACTCAGCCATAAAAAAGGACAAAGTCGTCCCATTCACAACATCATGGACAGACCTTGAGGGTATTATGCTGAGTGAAATAAGCCAGACAGAGAAGGACGAACTCTGTATGACTCCACTCATAGGTGGTAGTTAACATATGGACAAAGAGAACTGATCGGTGGTTGCCAGGGGAAAGGGGGGTGGGGGTAGGGCACTAGGGGTGAAGTGGTGTACCTACAACATGACTAATGATGATGTACAACTGTAACTTCACAAGGATGTTAACTTTCATAACTTTAATAAAAAAAATAGGCAAGATTAAAAAAAAAATTTCTCATCCCAAGAAAGAAAACTGTAACTATGTGAAGGATGGATGTTAACTAAGTTTACTGTGGTAATCATTTGGCAAGATATACATATATCATATCACCATGTTGTACACCTAAAACTAATAAACGTCACAAGTCAGTTATATCTCAACAAAACCAGAAAAATTAAATAAAATAATTAAAAATTTAAAAAACACATTTTTGAGTCTTAAAAATTCAAACTTATACTATTGTTTTGGGTTATTAAGTTTGAGTTACAAGGTAGCCAATTTAAATAACAAAACTACTGTATCAACCTCTTTCCTTTGTATTTGCTTTCAATTTAGTAAAGAAGGGCGGATGGGCCATTCCACGCACAGGCCTGCCCTCCTGTGTGCACAGGTGCCCTGCGGAGGCTGCCATGGGGCAGGGGCTGGACACGGAGAGTAGAGCCCCTGGGTTTCACAGGGTGAGGAGACTTTCCTAGGAGCACCAGAGCTACCTCTGGGGGAGCCGGGTTTACCCCTCGCTCTGCCTGTCTGTAAAGTAAGGCTGTCCAGGTCAGGCTGGCTTGCAGAAATGCAGCAAGGCTGGGGGAGAAGTGCAGACAGAGGGCCCAGGGGGACAAGGAAGTGC